TCCATGAAAATCCCTGACTGGTTGCTTCATTATTTCAAGGTTGCTGATTAATTTCAAGGGAAATCACAGTCTTTTTTTTCTCTTTTTTTTTTCAAAAATCCCTTCTAAGTGCTAAAATTGATCGAAAATAAATTAAATGCTCGGCCCGGTTGCATTCAGAAAATTATTGTTTCTTCAAAAATCCCTGATTGGGTGCTGGCATCGGCTGAAGAGTAGGTGGGGAATAAAGCCAAATGAATCCTAGAATTCAACGGTGTTGCTTTTAAAGTAATTAAGATCAGATGACTAGTATATTTTCATTGATAATAATAGGAATACGACATTTTATTTCGATCCTTTTCATGTGCTAACATCTGTCCCTAACTTAGTGAAGAAATGTGTTGAAAATTAATTCGAGGGAAATCACAATGGTTTTTTATTTTTTATTTTTTCTTTTTTTTTTCAAAAATCCCTCCCAAGTTCTCAAATTGATCAAGGATAATTAATTGCTCCCGGTTCCATTCGAAAAATTATTGTTTCCTCGAAAATTGGTGCTGAAATCAGTTGAAGATTGACCTCAAGTAAAGAACACCATGGACTAGAATCCCACGGTGTTGATTTTAAAGTAATTGATATCAGATGACTAGTACATTTTCACTGTGGTGAGACCAGAAATACGACATTTTATATGTATTTTGATCCCTTTCAAGTGCTAACGTCGTTCGAAAATAAAATAATCGCTTCGTCCAGCCCATGTGGAAAAAATGTGTCCCGAAAATTCCTGACTAAGTGCTGAAATCGATCGAAGATAAATTAGTCGCTTTGCGCAGTTCCTATCATGCAAAAACAAATTTCCCTAAAAATCCCTGACTAAATGAGTGCTGAAATTGATGAGAGATTAATTTCGAACAATATCGTGGTGGACTAATAGATGCCTACGGTGCTGCTTTAAAGTAATTAGTATAGGATCAGTCGTTTATTTTCGATCTAATGAGGTCAGGGATACGTTATTTTATATTTCAATCCCTTTCAAAATGCCAAAATTGGTCGAAAATAGAGTAATTGCTTGGGCCGGTTCAATTTGTAATTCAATTTTCCTGAAATTCCCTGACGAAGTGCTAAAATCTGTCGAATATTAGCCTTGAGCAATATTGCAGAGGGCTAGATAGATGCATATGGTGCTGTTGGTGAAGTAATGAATATCAGCTAACTACTATATTTTTTATTTAACAATTAAGATCAGTGTAAAACTACGGCAAATTATTTTTGTCCTCTTCGGGGTGCTGAAATCTGTAAAGGATAAAATAAATCGCTTGACCCGGTTCCATCGGGAAATTCACTTTTCCCCCGAAAATGCCCAACTAAATGCTACTATTGATCGAAGGATAACTTTGAGGAATAAAGCGATGGACTGGAATCCTATGGCACTTTTTTTAAAGTAATTAAGTGCAGATGCCTCGCACATATATTTATTACCGTATCTTCTTTTAATCCCTTTCAAAGCACTGTAATCTATCTAGGATTAGCTAGTTGGTTAAGGAATATCCCGATGCACTAGAACGCCTTAGTCCCTTTTTTAATTAAAAAAAGTAAACCAAGTTAAATTACTATTTATACTTTAAATTTGATTCGATTAGGCTTATAATGTTTGACTTATTACCTTATTAAGTGTACAGGTATGATACCGGCGTACTTCATAAAAAAAGAAAAAGAAATTTATGTTGGTTTACGGTTGTTTTCTAATTTACTACTGATAGCTTACCGTAAACCAAATCGCAAACGAATTTCTTGAAAAAATTCCATCGGCTATTAATTTCGCGTGATTTACGAAAGTATCACTTTGTTCCGATTTCCCTCCGCTTCTTGTGACTCAAGTCGGACAATGAGTTGTTCTTGAGATCAATGAGGTACCCATAAATGTGAGACTTATTGGACAAGGGTTTCTAAATTATTTAAAAAAGGAAGCTGGTGTGTTCAAGAGATTATGTATGACAATTAATTACAATTTTCGTATACTTTCAATACAACCGTTTCTGTTTTATGCTCCACTAGCGACCCGTACGTGCTTCGCACGTATGAAACATACAATCAGAGAAAACGGAATTCATCTCACAATAATCAATAATCAGTAGGACATGAATCGTTGCGATGTATTATACGACATTATAATACGGCATTACTATTATAATGCATTATAATGGATTATAGGCATTATAAATCATTATTACCACGTGGGAATGAAATGCTGCAGAATGAATTGAAAAGCATGTTGGCAAAATTTATTACAAAAATAGTATAACATGTAGACCGTACATAACATAAAGGTAATACAAATTAAATGATTAGAGCGTGTATATTTTATTACATTATAGGTATATTTTAATCATTTTTGTCATTGTTGGAAATTTTGATAATGGACCACTAGACAAGGTACGAATTTCTGCATTCTGATACACGTTTCTTAACCAAAATTTCACGTAGAGCACGATGCGCACAACGAAAATTACCGAAATTATTACCTTACGAAGATATTTAATGATTTCTAATGCGTAAATTCAAACCATCATGCTCATGAAAACTCGATGATCTACGTGATTCACTTCGTTCGCTGAACGTTATCATGACAGTCTTTTGCGATATAAAAATCTGGCAACCTCTATCTTGACGCTTTGGCTCAGCTATGGCAAATTGCTTGTAGTTTGAACAACACATGGTGAGAAATGAACATTGCTCGGTTGAGAAGCTTTCTGAAACCGTTTTAGTGCGCGATTTGACTCACGTAGAGCTTTGAGTTTCTTGTGAGCGGGCAGTTCAAATTCCTCGTAACCGATGGGTAATAAAAACGTTAATATCTTCGTTAAGAGTTGGTTATAGTAATTTTCGTTGTGTGAATTGTGTTTTACGTGAAATTCTGGTTAAGAAATATGTATCAGATTGCTCAAATTCGTACTTTATCTAGTGGTCCATTTGAAATTTGATAGTTGAAAATGTTGGCACTTTATTTAGTTAAGGTGATTCGTAGAAATAGTTACTCCAAAAAATCATGTTAGAGCAGAGAAGTACGGCAATGACGTAAGGACGTTTTCATTGCCATACTGCAAGGAAAAATTTCCGTCCGCAATCCGAGCAATTCCAAAAGGAAAAAAACATATATATAAAAAAAGAATGATCACATAGAAACATTCACATACAAATCCATCCCTACCGAATATGTGAATGGCTTCGACATCATCTTGAGATACTATTAGTCAAATTTAGACGAATCAGCTTCATACAAAACAAATATCAAAAAACGAATTTAGAAAATTGGTGCCCTCCGGTCTGAAATCACTTTATAGACCATTGAAAAGCCCCATGCAAAGTTTCAACTTTAAAATTGAATTTTTAGGGGTCCCGCCCGCATTGGCCCTAAACATTAACGTGAATATTCCATGAGAATTTGCCAGAAATTGTTCAACAATGATTTTCTTGGCGGGGTGTGACAATATTATTGATTTTCTTTTTTAAAATAAGGGCGTTGAAGTTGGTTTGAGTTAAAAAGATTCCTGCTTGGCACGAAAGGCTAGGGTTGACAGAAAATCCTTCGGCGCGTGGGGAGTGCGGCGAGTCTGCAGAAAGGAAACCTCGATGTTCCCGACTGAGCACCAAACAGTTGGCGATGGAAATTCGCAGGATGGAAATTTCATATGAATAACGTAAAAATAAAATGACAAAAAAAACATATGTGAGCAGTTGCGGAATTTCCCGTTTCCACACGATGTACACGTACAGAACTCTCCGACCGCTGAGAAAGATCCGGCAACACCGCAACACTCGAACAATCGGGACAGTAGCCGTAGAAACGCTCGTACCGTATACAACAAAAGGGCGACCGAGCTCCGGTCGTCGTTTCAGAGTAGACCATCAGAGTAGCCGCGACGCCTACGCGGAGGGACTCACGGCGCCCCCCCCCACCCCCCCCCCCCTGCCAAAGCCGGCCGAAGGCCAGCTCCGCCGAACGCGCAACGAATGAAGACCGCACGGCAAAAACGCGGCCCCGATCGACCGACGAGGAGGGCGCAGAAACGAATTTCCCAGAAACGTTCGAAGGGCACCAGGGCCTCCCCGGATCGCCGGATCACGATACCCGCCCTTATCGGACGTCGGCACCGTAGGACCCGTCCGCCGACGGAACCGCGAGCCCGGGGGACGAACGGGGAGGTACGAAGTGACCGTTACAAGGAATCGACCGACGAAACAGTCCGAGGGGCACCGCGCCCACCCCGGGAGTTCGGGGTCGAAAATTCAGCGGGGACGGGACGCCGGCCGGCCGGGGGCCCCCGCTGACCGAAACCCCAGGCCGCGGGCCGAACGTGACGGGAGCGGTGGCGGTTTTTCCGAAAACGGTCGCGGGGCCCCAGCGCCCCTCCCGGGTCGCCGGATCCGAAATCCGACCTTATCGGACGTCGGCACAGTAGGAACCGTCCGCAGACGGAACCCCGAGCCCGGGGGACGAACGGGGAGGTACGAAGTGACCGTTACAAGGAATCGGCCGACGGAACGGTCCGAGGGTCACCGCGCCCCCCGGAAGCGCAAAAAAACGAAACGGCCGGAGGGACAAGGAGCCGATAGCCGCGACGCGACCGCACGTCGAAGCGCGACCGGAAAGACGCACGCCAGGCCGAGGGACGGGCGAAAAACGGAACCACCCCCGGGGCCCGTAGCAACCCCCCTGGGGGTGGGAACGGGAAAATCCGCGGGGGGAACGGAGTCCCGGCCGCGAGGGGTCCGCCGAACGAACATCAAGGGCGCGGGACGCGCTGGGACGGCGTGGCGGGGACCGATGTTCAGAGGGTCGCGGGGTAAATCGTATAACTTTATATAAGAGAAGATTACTGAAACTTTCCGTGATTTTGACTTTGATCGGCTCAAAATTCCAGTCTTTAACGTATCTGCATACATGACCTTATCAGTGATGAACACTCATGTAGCCAGGTTGATTTTTTATCGTTCATGATTCGGCAATTTCCTCCTAGAAAAATTTTTGAAAAACGTCGAATTTTACGAATTATTTTCAGCAGGTTCCGGAGTCGTACAGTCAGTTAGGAAATGTGCGCTCTACTAGGGACGTAGACCCTTACTTCTTTTCACGAACAATTATTTTTTCTAATGACTAGACGCAAAACTAGAAAACTGGGAATTCTTTGAAAAGAAAACCTATACACTAAAGGAAGCAAAGTGCAAGTAAACTTTTCAGAGTTTCAAATATTAAAGAAAAATTCCAGAGTTTGCAACTTAATTTAAGTGACTCTTCGAAATAAAGACTCAATTGTGCACAACAATCGGCAAATTTGGATCATACTTGACTCGTTCGTTTGTGCGAAAACTCAAAGTTCGTTTGGAGTGTTATGATAGGATCTAACCCTTAATGGAATATGGATTCACCGAAGCGGAGACAATGATGGAGTCACCACGGAACCAGCATCCAGTCAAGGTAAGATGGCTCAAACTCTATTTCTTTTTCGCTTTGACGTTGTTTCCTTCCCCCTTATTCTCGTAGCTTCCGTGCTACATGGACCGATCACTGAAGAAAATCTTTCTTTTACTCTGCCGCGCTGAGGGAAAGAGCATTAAAATGTTGCCAAGACTCAGCAAATAAATTATTTATTAGCGAAGGAGTTTTTGACAATTTTTCATCTAATTTTTTATATGGCATAGATAAAATCACGAGATTTCCCCCTTTAGATGTTTTAAAAAAAAATCTCACGACTTTTTACAAAAAAATCGTATTTTATCAGAGAAATTTTAGCAACGTTTGAATGCTCTTACAGCATTTTCTCGAAAAATGACAGGTTTGAACGAGTAAGATAAGAATTTCAGCCTCGCGTGTAATAACTGAAAATAACTTTCATCTTATTTTTTACTCTCAATTTAGGGGCGTTTTTAAGGTTGGTCATACAGTAATTTTTCTACGAGAGAAACCTACATAGATTACTAGAGCATCATATGAATATTTCTTGTCCTTGAATTATTTTCGGTATTCCCAGATGATTCTTTGGCTGTACACAATTTCGTTCGTTCCGAAGATAATTCCAGGGCTTCAAATTTGCATCGGAAATTCCAAGCCGGATCCGAGTGAAAATTTTTCTCCGTGTACACATCTCAGTTTTTTGTTGGTTTTCTCCCAGGAAAATAAAACAATCTTTGGAATTTCGAATGTCCATACCTGGAGTGGGTCCGTGCTTAAGGGTTGGATTTAATCAGACAATAATAAAGTCAAGTTTTGGACGAAAAGAAGTCAATAATTGCATTCAACTAGCCTCACATTTTCTCCTGACTAAACTTCGAAGTCGAGAAAAATAAATCAGAATGCTAGAAAAAGAACGTCGAACTTTGTTTCCACAATTTAGTCTTTCGAAGGAATGCGATAAAAGTCTAAGACTCTTTTCTGTCAGTTCGATCTTAACGTGCTTTAGGTCTATCCTTTGACTTCCAAACTCGATCCAAAGGGTCACTAAGCACGATCGAAGGTCGAAACTAGGAAAAAGTCACATCATTTCTCTTCAAAATCTTACGCAGTTCACACAACGAGAGGTTTGGAATTGAGCTCCCTAACAAGATATCAACAAGTCTCCCAACACATGATCAAACGGAAGTTGATCACACAATAAATTACATCATTTGTATTTTTGCCATTTAACCAATTTTATTTGTAGACACTTAAATTCGTAGTTTAGGGGTTAATCGCCAGATTTCCTGTCATGTGCTCAATTTCCCCCTAAAATTTTTAAGAGCAAACATGCTGCGGCTACGTAGTGCTTCAGTTTATGCCTTTTCCAGTGACCCTCTTAACCATCGATTCATTGGTATACATTCTAAACATTTCCTTTCATCTTTCCCGAGAAAGGAGCATGAAGAAAATTCCGAGTATTGTTTAATCGTCAGACCCTCTGAGAGGCAGGACTATCACCCCCCCCCCCCCCCTANATTTGGTTATATAACTTTTATACTAAGGGTTACATAATAAAATAAGTTTTTTAGTAAACTTTTAACTAAAAAACTTTACATCCATTACATAAACAATGAATATTCTTTAGCTTGTGGTTATTTACGGTTTATACTTTTAAAAACAATTTTTTTATATAACTCTGCTACTAGGGTCCCCCCACACCGCACCCCTCACCACCTCCTTCTAAACTCGGTGCGATGGGCGGCCCATATTCGCAGGCGCGCGGGAAAATGCAAACAAAAGGGTTAGTGAGACGCGATGAATTCGCGGTTTTGTCACCGCGGAATGAGTTTTGTTCCTTCTTATCGATGGTGCGAACCGTCGGGTGTTTTAAAAGTTGTTTACTGATGGAATGGGTCGCTTTTTGGATTTTGATGGGGGTTGGACTGAAAAAAAATTCTCGGCGTTTTTACCAAGGTCCGTTGGTACCTTTACCATCTCACTTCTTTTACCAATTATTGGTAATTTTACCAAGCCAGACTGGTAAGCTTACCTAAAAACCGGTATTTATACTGTTTTTTTCAGGTAAGAATACCACTTTTATTGGTAATCAATTCCCAGTTACTTTGCCATTTTATCTCGGTAATTCTACCACAGTCGATAAAAAATATTGGCGTTTTTACCAAGGTCCAGTAAAATTACCAAGAAAGTTCAATAATTTTACCTAGATTTCTCGGTAAAATTACAAATTCCAGAAATGGTAATTTTACCAAGAAAAAACTGGGATCAAATAGAATCCTGAATTCTTGGTAATTTTACCCTTTTCTTAGTAAATACACCGAGATTTTTTTTTCAGTGATGGATCGTATAAGTGACATTGCTTTCTCTTCTGTGGTTGAAATTCGGAATGCTGCCTGACGGGAGCTGTGCCACCGGGCATCATGACTTGACTCCGTCAACTCAAACGTTATGCAATTTGAGAGGCACAGAAGTTTAAATAGTTGTATCTCGCGGTTTAATACCAATGTGGGCTGTGCTCTGATAAGTATTTTGCGATTCATGCTTATGGAGTGATAAATATTCACATGGACGAAAGAGACGGCTATCACAAATGAATTTTTTCTGTCATTAAATATATTTCCCGGTCACAAAAAGGACAACCTCAAACGAAATGTGCTCATTGTTACGAGAGTACCTTAATAAGGAGAGTATGGCCACTTGGTCCGAGGGGCTTAGGACCCAAAAATGGCGGTGCTTTGTTTTGGTTTTTGGGGATGGGGGGGGGGGGGGGATCATTGACATCTTTTGACAGTATTCATTAATTACACTTGCTGCCAACCTTACAATATATCTAATATGGTTTTCTCAAAAATTGCACATGATTAGCAGTAAAGCTATGTAGATAAGTCGCAATCGTGCATTTGGGTTTGCTCGTTGCGATAAGCAAAGAAAACTAATTTTTGAGTCATTTTGAATCACATTAGCTTATTGCGTCCGCCATTTTTTGGTCTTAAAAGGCTCCATTCAGCCTAAGATGGCTGAGCCAATCAGAGGTGGAAACTGAGGTGGCCCTCCCTGTTAAGGTACTCTAATTGATACACGAATTAACGTAATTTTTAATGGTAATTTAAAGAAGAGTGCAACAAATATTCTTGAAGCAAACTGATATACGGTGACATTTCTCTTTTTCCCTCTCTCCGAACTTTTAGCAGGATTTGACAGACGAGATTTTTGAAAAGTTGGCACAACAGCCGTAATATTCATCAAAAGCAAATCCTTTTTCGCCAGGTCGGATGTCCCAAATTTCCGTGCCTGTACAATCCTTTGTTCCGGAGAATTTAACAACAACCCACGTTTGTGATTAGCGACTTGGATTTCGCTGCCACATTTTCGCACATTAGTTTGCAGCCCGAGACCTGCACGACACAATGGGCTCCTTTGAATTTTTTATCAGGAAACAGGCCCACCGAGTTATCTGGAATCTGTAAAACGAATCTCATCAAATTAATTTTTAGGGTGTATTGTAGAATTTAGGAGAGAATGTCGATTGATCAAATGATAATCTATGAATTTTAATAAAAAAAATTGTAGATTGTAGTTGTTTTGAGTATTGCACCTTTGAATTGTTCACTGTATACTGTAATTTTAAATTTACCGTCAAATTTCATGTAGCATGTCCTAGCATGCCCGTATAGTTGTAATGCGTGTCAGCAGTCTGATTGGACTGCAACGCCGAGAGTGCTGCGGACTGTGGATGATCACGAAACTATGTTTGTATTCTGTTATCACAAGTAATTTTTATCATCTGATAGTGCACGTGCCGCTTAATTTGTACGCTTATTTCGTTCATCTGCCAATCACATAGTTAAAACTCTAATATGCTCGTTCGTCTGCTTGTTTAAATAGCAGCATGTACTTTCCTTTCCTGTGGCTTTTCTATTTGCTCTGAGGATGGCTCTAAGACGAGCCGAAAAGGCTTTCAGCTGTACCTATCTCTGTACTTATCGATGTAAGTAAATATATTCGTAATGAAATGTGGGTATAGTGCCACGATTCTTATTTTGATCATTTTAAATTTTAATGTACGGTACTACTCAACCAAGAATGTATGAAAACATGAATGAACCATAATGTAAACTATTTAATCCATCTATCTCACATACGATGTCAATCTTATTAAGATTTCATCTCTCCTTAATTGGGTAAGAAGGGTCCATCGAACTATAAAATGGAATGAAATCAAACACATGAGAGGTTGATGACAGTGAGGTTTTTTAAATTAAGAATAGGCTATCTCACACATCCTTCTATGTAAACCTGATCGCTGCCGTCAAAAAAAAAGAGGAGAAAATATCTTTTAGCGTGACGTTAAGCAGTTTTTCAGCCCATTCCTCTTTCATGAGGGTGATGTAATTAAACCTCTCAGTTCGAAAACGTTCCAACCCGGATTTTTTACGATGTTCATTTTTTTGCGTAGAAACACTCTTTTTCTAGCTGTTACCCTTTTTTTCGTCTGCTGATTTATTTTTCCAAGATGGGTAGTTTCCGATCTGAGAGATTCAATTTATTAACGGCCTTCACAGATAAGCGGGTGCACAAAAATGGCGAAATAAATTAGAGGCGATAATTGTAAGTCGGCAACACTGTTTTTTACCACAAAAATCCATTATATATAATTGATTCTAAGCTTGCCTTCATGAATATCGATTTTTTTACCCGCATGCAAATGATAAAACCCATTGTTGCAGAGTGAAAATATCAATTGTTGTTCAACATGCATTGATAAAACTCATTGTTGCAAACTTGCAAGTTTCCAATGAAGAGAGGAAATAAATACTTTACTCCAATCGGTTGGCTGCAGTTTCCTATGGCTTTCCATTCTGAAGCAGGTGTCCCTTTCAAGTCAGGCATTCCCTCAGCTTTAACCGTGTATGCACTTCTGTAGTTGGAGGGCGTCCCTTTGCAATCCACTGAGGCGAAGAACTTCAGGCATGTTCCTTTGGGTGCCTTCAGTGAAACAACATTTCCGACTAGTTTTGGGCAGACTGGTTTACAGCCAGGAAGAATTATATCGCATTTTTGCCCATTGAAATCCTTTTGAGAAAATATTGTGACGTTCACAGCTTCTGAGTAGACCAAATAAACCACGAAAACAGCTTTCACCAAAGTTAAGACCATATTTTCCATCAAAACGGGCCTAAGCTAGAAACCTGTTTTATTTTCAAATATGTAAAAACCATCAGACTTCTTAGTTTTCAGGACTTCAGACTTTTTTTTAAAAAAAAAGAAAACAAAATATATGACGGTTGTAATCATATAAATCTCAGTTTAAATCTACCCAGACGAAATAAAACCACGGCCAATGAAAAAGTACTGATGCAGAATGTAATGATATGATCATAATGAAATATCCGTGCTAATTCCTAACTACTATAATAATATTAGGTCACCTTTAATAACCGAGAGCAGTGCTATATACTGAACCGTCCCGTCCCGGGGGTGTATTGACTGCCAGATTAGGTATCCTTATAATTCATTCCACATCAGCCCTTCTGCTCATAGAGAGCAGCTGCACATACAGGTTGCACAGGTTTTTCCTCGCATGTATGTACCTACTCTGACAATGTTTACATAATTTTTCGCATATGGTTACGCTTTGTAACCGAGGACACCTACAATCGCTCAACTATTACTTCACTCTCCTGGCTTTTTTTTTTTGGGGGGGGGGGGGAGAGCTAGAAAATTGTTAAAAATTTGTCAGAAAGCCAGTGACTTGTAATCCATGAAGTAATGGACCATATGGAATTGTGAAATATTTCAATCTTCTTGGCTCAAATTGACGTATTCCATGTCACATCCTCCAGACAAATCATGTGAGCGTAAGAGTACATGTTCAGTGCAAATTTTGGATAAGCATTCAATTGATGAAACAAAACTTGCCAAAAGGTCTATTATGCATTAAAGAGCAAGAAAAAAACAGAATAGTCAAAAATGTTTATTTTTACGAAAACAAAAGTTTATTAATCAACATCAATTTCTTCAATTTTTTGTTTTGGATGATTATTCGTTCAAAGCTCCTTTCTTTCCAGGCCGACTGTCCTTCGTTAACACCAGAATTTCCTGCAAAGGCTGCGACTGCACCTTCTCAACCGCAACATTTCGGGCTTTAATACCCCAGTATAGAAAGAACAGAATGACAACAATCGTGATCCCCAGGATGATAGTGTAACTACCCTGCCACCTGAAAGACGCCGGCTCGATCGCCATTTCACGGTCAAACCGTAATGGCGTATACGCGGGCAGCTCCAGCGTGATCGGGAAAGGGTCAACGTCAAACTCAACGGTTTCGTGCTTCACGTGGAACGCGCTCGTTTTCGTGTACAAAACCCGGTTCCCGTAGATTACGGTGGACGTTTCCTCGGTAGTGCAAATAGCCGGTCCTATCACGGTTTTCAACGTGTCGTTGTTTTTCTTGTCTTTGATTTCGGCGCGAGTGCCTGTGTTCAGCAGGACCATGCCGTCGGCGTAGAGGATCGGTGCGTCCAATCGCGTCATTTGGATCGGCTCCAGGTCCGCCTCCGAGCAGAAGTAGGTGTCCAGCTCGTGGTGGCATTGGTCGACGGACTTTTGGCCCGGGTCGGTGATGTAGACCGGCTTGAAAACGGTCAGCTGCGAGTGGATTTCTCGGATCGCCACCGTGAAATGGATGTTGCGGCGGTTTTTGATTATCGGGAGGATCAGCACGCCGCGCAGGATGTCGCCGGACATTTCGGCGAGGTTGAAAGTGATTTTTCCGGTGAAATAGAGCATGTACGGGCTTTCGACGTAAATTGTGTCCTGGAAAATAAATTTGAAGAAAGGTTTTACATAAATGCAAAATGGGGAGGGTGTTCCACGTGTAATGACGGAGGAAATGACGGAGAAAGGATGTAATCGGAGCTTCACTAAAAAAACACATTGGATCTAGAGTCCAGACTCTTGAAAAAATTGACAAGAAAAAATACTCTTGATTCAATCGGAATTTTGCTTGAATCGAAACGAAATCCGCTTAAATTAAGAGGCTTGGTTCTTGATTTAAGCTAGATTCTGATTGAATCAAGAGTACTCTTTCTTGTCGATGTTTTTAAGAGTCTGGACTCTAGATCCAATGTGCTTTTTTCCCAGTGTTTGCGATCCTCTTAGATTCCTCAACAGTATCAAAATTCTATCATAACAGTGGCGAGGCGTTAATGATCGATTATCAATTGTCTCCCATTTGAAGTTAGGGTAAAGAATCGAAATTTAATGTGTTTGTTGCGAACACCCTGTATAGCGATCCTTTTTCATAGGTTTAAATGGCAGATCAATCGATTTATCGCAAAACACACCACACCACTGTTATTTTTGTCCTTGAGAGGAGGAAGAGCGATGTAGAGCAAACATCGGGCCACTTACGGATTCCAAGATTTTTCGGTTACAGGACTTTTGGTCCAATTTTTTTTGTCCATAAATTTTTTCGTCCAATTTATTTTGTCCACGACTTTTTGTCCTTGAAATCTGGTCCAAGTTAAATTCGTCCTGGTAAATAGTTAGTCCTACGCATTTGTTCGTCCAGTGGTATTAGGTCACATTTCTGTGGTCCAGTAAGGTAAAAAAGTTATGTCCAAAACTCACGTCCAATGAGGCCGTTTCAGCTACTTCCTTTCAGCTTTCAGCTACTTTCAGTCATCGTCTGAGTCTTCTTCGTCCGAGTCCGGTGGATCTGCGCGTGGCGTGTGCAACTTGAGGTGGTACGCACATGCTCGGAGGTACTTCTTAAGTGAGTTCGTGTCCTTGTAATGTTGGTAATTTCGGACGATGTTGGCAATCATTGCCTGATTGGTAGTGTACTTCTTGCTTACCGGTGGTTTAAAGCGGCGATGATCCCCCCGAGCCTGTGTTAACGTACGCTCTGTGTCCTCTGTTGAACCTTTTTAAAAGCGTCAATTAGCTTCCAAATGTTAGCATGATGCGTGCCGACGATTTGGTTGAATTTTGAGTGAAAGCCCTCAACTGCGTTGTTTGTTCTAATACGATCTGCCAAAACTAAGTTGTAGACGTTCCATGTTTCGGGAGGGAACAGGGGAGGTACCGCACGTCTTCTTCCCCGAGCTGGTTTGCCACGCACGTACGTGTGGTCAACGTACGTCGCAAATTCGGTTAAAGCGTCGTCTATTTCCTCATAGAGAAAAATGAAAGTTTCCACCAAATCTGCAGGAGGGATGAACGGCAGAGCCATGAGTTCCAGTAAGTTACGTCGTAACTCGGGTTCAACAAAAATATATACCGTCATTGAATTTTAAACGAAAATTTTAAAATAACCTCTTCGATGTTTTTTCTTTCGATGTTGGGATTAAATTTAAGGGTCTCCATAGCTACGAAATAAATTGATCTTGACGCCAATTGATTCACACGCCACGCGCAGATCCACCGGACTCGGACGAAGAAGACTCAGACGATGACTGAAAGTAGCTGAAAGCTGAAAGGAAGTAGCTGAAACGGCCTCATTGGACGTGAGTTTTGGACGTAACTTTTTCACCTTAGTGGACCACAGAAATATGACCTAATACCACTGGACGAACAAATGCGTAGGACTAACTATTTACCAGGACGAATTTAACTTGGACCAGATTTCAAGGACAAAAAGCCGTGGACAAAATAAATTGGACGAAAAAATTTGTGGACAAAAAAATTGGACCAAAAGTCCTATAACCGATTTTTCGATATTTTGTAGTAGATGACATATTATTTTACAGAGACATTTGAGTCTCGGCGAAATTCACACTGTTTAGCGTCAAAACGGAGGCCCGAACTTACAAAATTTTACAAACAAACAATTTGGACAGAAATGACTTGTGTAAAACATGGAATTGCTTGAGGCTATTTTGCAACCTTGAAATGAAAATACATTCCTTTGTTTTTGAAACGACGAATCCAGAGTCATAAAGCGGGAAGCTCTATCCCCAATAGAAATTTAAAGGAATAAAAGTAGAAAAATGAGATAAAATTTGAGCAAAGTTAAGTTCTCTCATATTTTACTCCGAACACGTAATGAACCTTCTAAAACGTTCAGTAAGTTGGAATTTTTTCGCCAATGTGCACTAAAAATCAGCATAAAGCTGAAAATCTCAGGGGGGAAACAAATCTCAAATTTGAGGGAAAATTGTGCTCAAGTGAGCTTTTTCCCTCTGTATCGAGATTTTCAGTTTATGCTAATTTTTAACGCATGTTGGCTAAATAATTCCAACTTACTGTCTTACGACCCTTGCGTCTAACAAAATCAGTTTGTGTACTAAATAGTTACCTGCAAAATTGGCAGTGATCTAACCAATGCAAGCATCTGATTCGGCGGGATGATACTGCTCGTCAGTCGTTCGTCCCGGAGAGAGCTAATTATATCATCAAATTCCTGATAGAAGTAGTGCTCATAAACAAGCATTGAGAAATTAGTCTGAACATTACAGGTCGTCTCCCTAGACACGGCGGCCAACTGCGCAAACTCCCTCCTCACAGCCAAAAACGCCTGCGCATTTTTCTCCTGATCCTCCGCAAAAACCTGCTTCAAGTAGTTCGTCTCCTGCTTCAGGCCCTCCCTCAGCTCGTCGATTTTCCCGTTGATGGAGGCGTAGGAGTACCCGGCCCAAGCCGCCGTCACCAGCCCGGCTCCGACCGCCATGGCGACGGGTATCAGGGGTGCCAACCGTTTACTTCGAGAACGCGGTTCGGTGGCGTTTTTGAATAGGGTGGCGAGCGTGTTACTCTTGTATCTTTTCCCGCAGATGACGTATTCTTGGACCAGGTCCAGGACGAGCGGAACGACGATCTCGGTTTCGACGATGTAGGCTTGGCGGTTGGTCTTGTAGGTCATCATCGAAGAATCGCGGATTTCGATACAGGATTTGGCGGGCTCTGATTGGAAGAGAACGTAGAGCAGGAGCGGGACGAGGATGATGTGTGGGAAGGCCATTGTTGAAAACCGTGGGACAGTTGTCCTCCTGCGAGTTTGAAGGTCCTGCACACAAATAAACACGTTAACGAGCTCAATTGAACTGCATTTTGTAAAAAGAAACCAGGAGCATTACTATATTGCTACATGGAGAAAAAAACTTCGTTCGTGGGACCCGAAGTTCAGGTCGTATGGATCTCTGAAGTTTTCGGATTGAGCATCTGAACACTTTAGGTCCAGCTGTTGAGGTTTATGGATCACACATCTGAAACTTCAGTTCTTACATCTGAAGTACTTCGGTTCTCACATCTGAAGTACTTCGGTTCTCACATCCGGAAAACTTCGGTTCTCACATCTGAAGTACTTCAGATGTAAGAACTGGAGTTTCAGATGTGTGATCCGAACCTCGACAAATAGACCTAAAGTGTTCAGATGCTCAATCCGAAAACTTCAGAGTTCCATATGACCTAAACTTCGGGTCCCACGCACGAGGTTTTTTGCTCCGTGTAAGATTGTGCTCCTTTTGTCTTAGAAGGAACACCTGATATCTCTAAACGATTTATATTTTACTCGCTAAAAACTGTAAATTTCGGACAAAAATTACTATGTAAATTTCGAATCTTTTCAGCGTATGAATCGTTATACCGCAATGGGTGAAGTTGCACAATCTTAGCAACATCGCAATGCTCCTGCGGTTCCTTTTTGCAAAATGCAATCCAGTTATACTAATAGCATTGACGATTTTAGGAAGTTGCGTTTGAAAAGCACCTATCTATTGCAAAAAATCGATGGGAGATGTTTCACTTGCAAAATAAATTAAAAAGGTTGGTTTCGTTTTTGTAAGCACTGTTCAGAATGACTATTAAGCTTTATAAAAACATGACGTCTAGGCGACAAGTAATACAATTTTTTTTTAATTTAAAAGCTAGTATGATCCCTCTTTTTTTTTTTTTTTTTTTTTTTTTTTTTTTTAAAAAAGCAATGTAAAATATCACAATAGCCCTACAACTAATTAAAAATGCAAGTTTTACGTAGATTGGTATCTAGCTTTTCTGATCACTTTAATTAGGAGACCAGCGATTTGCAGCGACTTATACCCTCTAAGGCTCTCCATAAATAACAAAAAATAGAGACAAATTCAGTACTAGTGAAAAAGATTTTATTCACAATGCAGATTTTTTAATTTTTGTTAAGTTACATCAATAACATTTGTTTCAAATCTTAAAAACTGTACTAGTCTGTAAACACTAATCGCAATTTTGGCTCATGAAAATTAACTCTGATGTAATGAATTCATAAATAATCAAATGCATACTTAATTACCAGTCAACGTAATTAAATAATTAAGAACTGACCTTTGCAAAAATAAGGCCTCTTTTAGCAAAACCAAATTTTAACAGATAGATTTGTTTGAAATTAGGACATTTTTGAAACTTCTATCCTCAAAGACACTGACAAAAAAAGCTGATTTTAAAGTTAGTTTTATCACATTCACGTTACTTTCCTATGTTTTGCTAAAATTTCTTCGACTAAACGGAGCACACATCCGAAACTTCATTGAGGTAAACGCTGGATTTCAATGAGAGAATCTGAAAACTAGCTCAGCTTTTAGCCTACTTTTTCCATTTTTCTTTCTTATCTGATTACCTCTATTTGATAGGAAATAAAGACCTATTTAAAAGAACGCAAATTTAATCTAAACGCGTGAGCACTGCGTGCTGCACTCCTGCCGCTTCGTTAACGAAATCGCATTTTTCATACACGTAGAGAATAGAAAAGTGACCCGGGTTTGCAACGTACGGTGTGCACTCTGCGTATGAGGCTGCATTTTACGCTTGATTGCATCCGGGACATGCATTGTGTTGGCTTGTAATTTCTAAGTGACTTGAGACAAAAGGCTTGCGATGCATCGGAGAGCTATGAGCTCCTTTTATGTGCTTCACTTTGTTGTATCAGCGGTGAGTCATCTCCTTTTTGTAGATCTCCCCGCCTGACAGCAACCTTTTATGTGCATTGAAAAAAGAAAAAAAGAAAAGAATCAGGACGGTGATCAAAATACCAAGGTGTTTTGAGGCACACGCAAGCGCATGACCCAATGATCTCATTTTTTGGACAGTGGAGATGTTGCATATGTGAGGGATTTGCGATTTGACTGTTGATATTTACGTAAAAGTTTGCGAATAACACGATGGTGCCACTGCTTTTGTCTGAAATCAACTCCCAAGCTAAAAAAAAGCTCTCAAGTTGAAGCTAAAATGGAGGGGATATCCCACCCTACCCTGAGAGTCCACCTCTACATCAAGACAAACTCTCCATGCAAAGGTAGGGAGCAAATACATTGACAGGGCTGCCACTTCATTTGGGGACTCCAAAACTGAAAACACGGCAACCCTGCTAATGTATTTGCTCCCTATCTTTGCATGGAGAGTTTGTCTTGATGTAGAGGTGGACTCTTAGGGTAGGGTGGGATATCCCCTTCATTTTGGCCTCAACTTGCGAGAGCTTTTTTTGAGCTTGGGAGTTGATTTCAGAGAAAACCAGTGGCACCATCGTGTTTCTCGCGAACTTTTACATAAGAATCAACAGTCAAATCGCAAATTCCTCACACATGCAACATCTACATTGTTTCCGCGTACACTACACATTCGGCAAAGCCACCATTTTTGCAATCCTTGTCATAAGTCTCTATGAGGTCCCAATGATCTCATCGAAAAAAAAAGTGAAGTTGATTTAACATTCTGAATGTAAACAAAGTGTGCGAGAACTCACAAAATGCTAAATTACCCGCTACAGCAGTTAATTTTACACCTTGACATTGCTAAAGTAACTGCCGTTGCAGTTAATTCAGCATTTTGTAAGTTCTCGCACACTTTTATTACATCCAGAATGTTGCATCAACCTCACTTTTTTCAGTGCTTGTTTGTTGGGGAACATGTTGGTTAAACTGAATCATTGACATAATTTGGTGTATTCATTTTAATGATGTTGATTTTATTCCTAGATTGTAAACTCAAAACCATAAGATCTTCCGTAGTTGGGTCATAAGGCTCATTTAGGCTCATATACCTAGGATACATATTCACCCTAGTAGCACAACCCGTTTCACTAATATTTTAGAAATATCTCATAGGTGTTTAACTTGTGTCATCTCACTGAAACGTTTCAGAAATATTTTTGAAATATATAATTGACACGAAGCTTTGCAGAGGTTTCATTGATACTTTGAACCGTTTTAAAAACGTTTTTTTTAAAATTAAAAAAATTAAAATCAAAATATAATAGAAAGAAATTTGAAATAAATTGCGGCTGTAAAAAATGAATCAAAATAGAAATGTTTCAGAACTATCTTGGAAACATTATTCCGAAACCTACGTCCAAATTTTGTACCTAAAAAATATATTGGAAATAAATTTGAAATGTTTTACTTTCAGTTTTTTGATGCGTGATTACCAAAATTTTGAATTGTTTTGAAAACAAATTTAAAAAAAATTTACGCGATTTTTCAGAAATATTTCTTAAACATATCAGAAATATTTCGTATGAATTTAGAAAAATACCATTTCATCTGAAACATTTTTGAAACAAATTTAAAACATTTTCACCTAGTTTGATCTTTGTTACGTTGAACTGAGTCAAAATTATTTTCCAAACATTTCTTCTTCATCTCATTAATCTTTGTTAAACCGTTTCCAAAACAAATTGTAAATGTCATCTGAAATGTGTGGTTATAGTTGAAATATTTGGAACACATTTTGAAAATGTTTCAACAAATCCTTTTCAAAACATTTTCAAAATGTCTCTAAAACCTTTTTGAATATTTTGTTTGAATTTATACGTCACTTAAAAATGTTTTTGACACGTTTTAGAAATGTTTCATTGATTAACATAGAAACATTTCAAGGACCTTTCTGAAACTTTTCCTGGTTCAAACTGAATCCACCAGAGGGCGTTAACGTTTAGTTTCTCAATTTTACCAAATTTCAGCTTAATTCTTCGTCTCAAGCTATACTTTTTGGACATTTAATTATGTGAAGGTTATAAACACGTTTAATTCCTTGTATGAATCGAGTTCATCTCCATAAAAGCTCATAAGTTATGGATTATCTAGAATATTGAATCCGTACATCGTGCTTTACGTATACTTTTCTAAAGTGAAGGTGTTCTAATCCCTCTGGTAGGTTGATAATGATGAAGTGTAACGATTCAGCCTTCAGGCATGGTTGGTATCAAGGGATTCCTGTTGTGATGGTTCTAAGCGACATTAGTTATTAAAACAAATGTCTGAAAATTTTTGATACTTAACCTCTAGTTAACCCCCGAAGAAACAAATTTCTGAAAAACATTTCTAAAACATTTCATAGTGAACAGTCAGAACCTAATTTTCTCAAACACATGTTACAGAAATGTTGCTGAAACGATTCAGTGAAACTTTGAAACATCCTCAATAGGTTTCAGAAACATCTTCCCACGGTGTAGGCGACACAAGAATTTGGGGTGACATAGAGAAGTGTCTGAAACGTGTTAAAAACTGAATGAACACATTCTGAACGTGTTTAATATGTTTCGATGAAACGTAAGACATATTTTGAAAACCATCGAAATGTTTTGGAAACGTTTCTGAAACAATTTTGTGAGAGCATCAATCACCTTTCCTTTCAAAAATATGTTTCAGAAATGTTCCTGAAACGTATCAGTGAAACCTTGCTACATCCTCAATAAATATCAGAAACATCTGCATAGGGTGTCAGTTTGACAAAAATTTGGGGTGACCTAGAGAAGTGTCTGAAACGTGTTAAAAACTGAATGAAAACATTTTGAACGTGTTCAAAATGTTTCGATGAAATGTGTTGACAATGTTTTTTGATTTCAGTGACACATTTTTGAAACATTTTAAACACTAATTGTGCTACTAGGGCTGCCCAAAAATATTGTAAAGATGCAATAATTTATTAAAATTTATTTTTCAAGTCGGCCGCCATGTCAAAGAAATCACTCACAGGAAGAATGGCTTACGCGTGATGATAAGAATATAGGTGGTGGGCAATTGTTTTCTTCAAGGCAATCCTTATTCTCTCATATCTCATATAAGCCATGACGTAAGATCTTATCAGTTGTCAAACGTGTGCACGTTACCAATATTGCACAAAACTTGAAAATAGAGCGCGAAACAGAAAAAAAACGCCCGTGGATAAATCGCCTTCGATTGACGAGATAGGGAAACCGATCTGCATGGTGTCGATGAAGATGTATCCACTGATTGCGCTTCTCCGCTCAAAATGTTGTCCACGGGTGCATTTTACTTGATTAGGAAGAATCCTTTGTTACGCTGCCAAATTACTTGCCTGTTTAAACCCTTCTCTGTCTCAGCATAACCTTAGAGACCTCTCTGAGGAAGTGAACTGTGTAACGTATACATATATAATCATCAGGGCCCTATATATCTTCTTCGGGGGTTGATTTCAAAACTTTCCGTTGTGTGAATAATTGTCGACGTAAATTTTGAAGGGAAAACATGTAACGGAGTGCTGTTGTTTGTAACTTGTCTGGCACCCTACTTCCACACCCTGACTGTTGATCCATTACGAGCATCGTTCAAAGTAAAGAGTCAAATTGAGATTAGTGAACCCTAGTTTTGATCCGTTAATTGAAGTGCAATTAGCTCAATTAGCGCAATCAGAGTAGAGCTTGTAAGATTTAGGGGATCAACGTAAATTTGTTCCGTCAACCTCTGATCCCTTTTTCTCACGACTGTTAACAGAAATTATCCTGAATTCATAACAAGCAGTGCTTAATGACCGTTACGTATATGCATGAAGAAAATGAGAGGAAGAAGAACTGTAAGGGATCTGTAGCTTTGGAGGAAGAGGGAGCTTCCTTCATAGGTACTGATGTGCAAATAGATCGCCGTAAAAACATCTGGACGTCGAGAAATTTCCTCAGATAAAATGCAAATTTTCTTGGAGCCGATACTTTTTTTGAAAATTTTGGGGATTGAATGTACCGTATCCAGCTGTCAAAGTATGCATTTTCTGGAAAAAACTGGCATTTTATTTAGGAATTTGGCAATTTTTGATGCTTTTATGCCATCTCCAGTCACTCAGCGTGCAGCGTGGAGGTGCCGCATTGAAATTCCTCTTATCAGTCTTAGCACTTGGTGTCAGATCTTAATCGGGTTAAAAATAGTTAATATAGTCAAGTTGTGCAACTCAGGTTGTCAAACGGTGCAGTATTTATGGAATTGCAAATAAGAGACAGGCTTTACTTTCAGTTAGTTTTCGTGAATTTGCATCATTGTTAAGGTAAAAACTAAATGCTTGCTGAATCATTGCCGCGTGGCTATTATGTGACGAAAATCGTTAGAATATTAAGAACTTAAGAGTGAAGTGTTCTCGTGACTTCGTAGCAAAATTAAAATAACTTCAGGACACCTAGAGTGTTTTTTTCCTTTTTCCCCCTTTTTTCCAAAATCCCAAAGATCGTTAGTAATGCACCGAGCATGTGTTTCATTATTCAGATTTGATTTTATTATGTTAGAGGTGAGTTATCAGGTGCAAGCGAAATTAATTAGTTTCTTATGAGTTGTATGTCCTTGCGCATAGTATGTTATATTGTTCCATGCTTTTCTATTTCCCTGGAAAAAATTAAGTGGTAGGATATGAGGTTCTTTTAGGTTTTTTTTATGGAAAAAGGGAATTTTGGAATGAAGGTTTTCAAAAGAAAGGAGAATAATTTCAATATTTGACGTTGATTGATGTCTAATACATGCAAAAGAGCCGTCTCGAAATTTCAAGTTATCATTTATTTTCAACAGTATCTTCATAAAAGTGTTAAAATGAAGCGGACCAAAAGCTAGCGGATGCTGTAGTGAATATCTAATATTATTTTTTTCTTTCTCATTTTCCACCTTGACTTCCCTTATTTTTGTAAAACATGGTGTAAGCCGAAAACATAATAAAATCTCTGCCACCACTAGAATTAGAACTTACGGATGAGCATGATAACAATGCACGTGTTACGTAGTACTGGTAGCATATTTCGGGACAGAAATGATGTTAATCCTGCAGGAAAAAGAGGAGACAAGGTAACAATAGCCTGGTCAACGTCATTAAGGATGCAATCCCGCATTGGG